CTAAAAAATCTTATTTAGTCATGACAGCACCTAGAGGTCAGGTATCTAGCACCAGAACATCAAACTGGGCTGCCTGAAGTACATGCCCAGGCTTCCCATAAAGTCAAAGAGGGAAATTAATATGTAATTTGCATGGGAATTGCTCCTACACTTGTTCAGGGAAATGATCTACTAAAAATGGTATTCATTTTGTACTGCACAATTCAGCAGTCTCTGCATGTCTACTGGTAGGGTGCAAATCTCCAGTTCAGCTGGAAAAAATACTCTCCTTCTCATACACACATATAAACACTGTGGCCCTCAGTCCTGTTGAATGATGAATCAAAACCTTGCAGGACAAAGGACTGATTAAAAACCCAGGTTCTGCTTCCTAAATTAACACTCTAATCACAAAGTTATTATATAAGATGTAGGTAATTTCAAATAAACATTACAATCTATATTTCTGTGGATGGACTGAAATTGTTACATGACATTGTGCTATTATTCTTTACTTTCTTAAATGGCCACCTCAAATATTTGTGCAATTCTTCAGTACACAAGCAGTGTGATAACACCTCTGTGCAGTCAAGTGATCAGTGAAACAGCTGGTGAAGAACATAGGTTTCTTGGGATTTCAAATAGTGAATAATAGGCTTTTTAGTTAACATTACAAGGGCATGATTCAAGTTCCATTAAAGTTAATAGAAAGCTGTCCACAGATTTCAGAAGTGCAATGAATCACTGAAGAGTGTTGTCCTGCCTAATAAGTATTTTGATCTTCACAGTCAACATCCACTTATGTAGTTCTTTAGATCTAATTGATACTACTCTTTATACACAGATATTAGCTTGTCTAGTGAATTCAAATAGTGGGAGAAAAACAGTTAAATTACATGCTCAACTTAAAATCTAAATGTTTTGTTATTTTACTAATATTCTATTAGCCGAACTTCAGCATACTAATTTTCAACATACACTAAAAAACAATTAGGGATTTTTTTTTGGAAAAGTCTTTTCAAATGGGATGTCAGCTATCAGGGAGAATACCTGGTATCATCTCTCAGCTTTTGGTAAGTAACTCATGAAGAAAATATCTCAGGGAAACAATCTGAAATGTTTCATAATCCAGAAGAGTTTGTACTTCATATCACTCTCTAGTTCATACCCCATGAGTATAAGCACAAGTTTCATGTTTCTATGGAAGAAATGCTAAAAACTACTAAGGAAAGTATTGCATTTACTGAAATTGCAGTTTCAAATTCATAAATGCATCAGCAGAATTACATATTTATTGTAAGTTTAAACCTAATGACAGATATTAATCAATTTAATTAGTTATAAACAATAGTTTTGATTTGTTTTGTTGTGTTTTTTTTTTCTGTTTTCCATCTTACCTGTCTTCTGTTCATCTGGCCTTATCTGCCACGACTGTGTTACTAAGTTAGCTCTGTTGACCAGCTCATGATGAGATACTCAGAACTGAACTGCAGTTCCATCTGTTTTTTCATGGTAGTGAAGCTGTTTTAAGAAGTCCATGATGCAAATCAGTCAACCGCCCAACTCCCACACCACCCTGCATCAGTTTGCCACCAGATCTGTTCTCGAAGTATTGCTGCCTGCCATGTTACATAGCACAGTATATACATACACACATATATGTATATACATACACATATATAAGTGTATGTATATAAAAAATACTGTGTAGCAACTCAAAGCCAGGGAGGGAAATGTAAGAAAGAATAGCTAAAATTGATGACATCTCACACTGTCGTTGTCAGAAAGAAATATGCACATATATACCTTGTTGCTAATAAACATAAATGGACAACTGAAGACAATACAGGAATAAATTTATGGATTAGTCCCAGGGAATAATGCTCTATGGTGGGAACTGTCCCTCCCTGGCTCTTTCTTACCTGTCCCCAGTCTCCATTTTTTTTCTCTTTCCCACATTGGTTCTTTATATAAATTGCATTCATGTTTAACTACTTCACATATTTCCTCCTTAGATATTAGAACCCATTTTTAGGGTTTCGAACTGTTATACCTAGGATGTATTGGCACTACAGACATCAGTGTAGCAGAAAAGTATCTGAACTATCCATAAAAAAAACTTCAGTAACACAAAATTTTACAGAGTTCATCTAGCCTGTGCTGCCATGTCCAAACTGCTGCAGGGAGCTCAGTTAACTCAATGGCAATACCAGTCAGTCAGACAAACAGCAAAGTTGCTGCCTAATCTAATGGATAGGGTAGAGAATACTATTAAACTACTCAATCCTGACATTGTTTCTTTGGAATGACTGCTATCTGGTAACCTAATATTCCCTATGAATATCTATTCATACAAAACTCATTATGGAGATACCTTATAGATAGGTATGAGCACAGTCAGACTCCCTGGTTCTAGAGTGGATGAACAGCCTTTGCAAATGGAAGGAGACGTGCTTATGGACAAATCAAGAACATTTTGACAGAAATGAGCTGCTTATGGTGTGCAGCTGCTCCATATAGGTTTCAAGATGAATAAAACTTTGGTAAATGGGCTACTTGTAGACTCAGTGTAGTCCGTAACGTGACAGGAAAAAATATGTGTATTTTTAACATGGAACAAGAGATGAAATCCATATGAGTCTTCAGAAAACATCATTGAGGTTAATGTGTTATTCCTAATGATCCTATGATTTACCATGTGTCCAGGCAGTAAAGTTAGCTAATACACTGTTTTGGTGTTGTTGTGTTTTGTGGTTTATTTTTTCAACTTCAATTCCATAGTAAAACAAGCTGGCAGGAATATAATGATATTAATATTAGAGAAATGAAGGGAAACTACAGAAGTGAAGGCATTCAATTTTGTTCCAGTGTATCAGTATTCAGACTATATTACATTCATTAGAATTTAAAAATTTACTTCCTGACAGTAGCTGTTTGTGTAAATTCTGACCTCGATTACAAATCTGACCTATATGAATATGCAAAAAGGTGGCATTAGAGATTGCTCATTTCCAATAACAACAGGACATGGGATTAACAAATTGATGAATACTGGATAATATATTCAATTAAAATTTCACAAGTAGTAAGGAAACTAGAAACATAAAACATGCTGAATGCAAGAAAATGCAAAAGACAAATACCAATGAATAATGATGAAAATGCTCAGTAACCACCTCACGGTAATTTCTGAGTAATGTTAAATGTCACACATCTTTAGTTCTAGTAATGACTAACTTTGGAGAAACAGAATTTTAGAGACAAAATTTGATCTCATTCTCATTAGTATAAAGACAGAAGAGCTCCAGTGTTAGTGAAATTAATCTAGAAGTACTTCTGGGAATAACTGGGATCAATATCTAGATTTCAGAATACTACATGTTAGAAAGCATTTTTCAGAAAATGTCTGGATTACTTAATTTGTTTTGTATTTCTGTGTTTTGTTGCTTAAAGGTCTTTTCTCATTTCTTATTTCATATTTTAAAAAGTAAGGGTGTATATGCACACATGAGCATGCTCACACACAACCACATACACAAGATTAGATGCCAATTTTCCAAAGGAAAAATGTCAATCTCAGAAAAGAAATAGTTTTTTATCTTGAAATTTTCAGTCAGGACTTCCTCACAGCTGTTTTGGAACACTATCATTTTTAAAAGGTTAAATGTTTCTGCCAAAGTGAATTTTAAACAACACTTAAAAAATTATTTTTTACTATTGCCTAAATGTTCTACCCTAAACAGTTATTCCACATATCTGGAAGGCATGTCCTATGTGGAGAGGCTGAGGACACTTGGATTGTCTAGTCTGGAGAAAAGGTTGAGAGGTGACCTCATTGCTCTCTACAGCTTCCTGAGGAGGGGAAGCAGAAAGGAAGTGATGGTCTCTGCTCCCTGGTAATGCTACCACCTATTGTAAATACTATGAGAACATTTTTGTCTCGTATTGATTCTTTCTCACACCTTTTGGAACCTGTCAAAGGTTTAAAGAGATATTATCATATAATTGTTTTAATTAACTGTCTTTAGTTAGAAAAGCATCTCCACTTGCAGGTTTAATTACAATGTACTACATTGTAATACAATGTATTACAATAGCTTTTAAACTCTGCAATGATTATCTCTTAAGAGAGGATCTCATCACACATGCCTTTTTTGCTGTTATTGGAGCCATCTGCTTTGTCCAATAACATTAATTACAGCATGAGAATGTTATTTCCTCTAAATGTATGCAAAATACTATTACAGTTGATACAGAGTCTTTGAGAAAACGTGTATAGACATACCTATATATTTTCAGAAAAGCATATATAGACCACATTTAAAAATCCTCCACAATCGTCAAAAACACAAGAAACACACTGCATCACAGCTGTCAATAAGTAGGTATGCATTCTTGTGCATCCAGATAACTGAACTAGAAAGATCATTCCTCATGTTGAAATTAGTTATAGATCTTATTTCTTTTATCTGCTCTCCATATGATTAGTTTCTATTCAGGAGGCTAGGTCTACCTTTGTCTCTTTCATGCACTGTGACATGTTCTGGTGTCACTATAAAGTATTTTTAGTTCCTGCACACTTTGAATATATATATTAAATATATATTTTTGAATATATATTCTGTAATGACTCAGGTGTGGTTTATGGCCATATCTTGTTTTTCCAGTCCTTACCAGAAAATAAAGATAGTACAGATATAACAGTTTGTTTCAAGTTGTGCCCAACACTCTCTTCCACTGCCTCTCGTTTTAATTCCATTAATGAGTGGACACAAGTAGAATTGACTATACCTAATCCTAGTGCATATGGAACAGCTACCTGTCATCTCAACATCTTTTCTCCTTCTGCTATTCATGCAATTTTTTTCTTAGTCTTCATTCAACACTTTATTATACATTTCTTCCATCAAGCACAGCAAGACACCATGTTTATAATACAGATAAAATAAAATAAAAAAATAAAAATAAAATAAAAATAAAATAAATTTTAAAAAAAGTGAACACAACTTGAGGACTGAAAATTCAGGTTTATTATATTGCTTATCTGGGACTTAGATTGCAGAATCTTCAAAATAAAAGGCAGGTTGTAGAAAACATATTTTTCTCTCTCTTGGTACAACTCTGGCATAGCCTAATTTGTGATAGCTGGAATTAAATTCAGAATGTTTAGGCCTTTTTTTATATATCTCTGCAATGTCAGCTCACAATCTGGTTGCTACTTTACACTCACATTGGATATAATTTTATCTTTATTTTTCCTCTGCTTAAATCAGCAGAATGCTGATGTGTGAATTTACTAATACCATCTTTAGACTGCCAAGGTTCTCTTCTAAAACAGCTTTTTGATAAAAGTTTTCAATTAATTCCTTTCTTTTTTTTAAACCTTCAAAATTTTTAAGCATGGTGAATATCAGACAAAATTTTCATTGAATTTGGAAATTCATTTGAAGTCCTTTGAAAGCTCAATGCTTATACTGAATATGTGTGCATCACTTCTGAAGTAAAGTTGTGAATTTGCTAAACAAATATATCCATGATATGAAAATCTAAAATATATTTTCTTCTGTCTCTTGATGGAGGCTTTAGAAGAATAAATACATGTTTCTCAGTAGACACCATCAATAAGTCTACTGGAATCTCACATCATAATGACTGGACAAGGCTTCTTTTGGTATTTTCAGTTTCCTAGAAAAGCAAAAGATTTGCTATAAAACATAAGTTGTATTTTTATGCAACTAAATAGCAGTAGAATACCTGGCTTTAAACTTTGCTATATTTATCTTGAAGGACAAAAAAAAGGAGGGGGACAAAAAAATGAGCAACATGAAAACTCTGTTCAATACCCACATAAAATGGTTTACATTATTTATATTTACTACCCCAAAAATAAATATGCTAATGTTTTCTAAAAGTTAACTTCAATATATCTACATAAAAGTATTCTGGAATTTCACAATGCAAAAACAATTTTATTTTTTTTTTTGAGTATTGGAAGAAAAGCGCACTTTTAAATGCCAAAATTACACAAGAAATAAAATACTATATTCTATCCAGTTCTAGGCAAAATTAGAATCATACAAAGATAAGTAGTTGAGTCATTTTCTATCTCTATATATTCTATGAAACTCTTTGTGGACTAAAATCAAAGGGTAAAAAGATACTGTATTTTATTAAATGTAATACATTACAACTGTAACGAAGGTATAGTAGTAACTTCAAAGAATGTTTATCATTCTCCTAATGGAAGATGGGTCTAAAATGTTACAAAGTACAGTTTGAAACATCAATTGCTTATTTCTTATGCTGTATTTATTCAGCTATTTCTACAGCTTTGCCTAAAAGAATGTTTCTATTTACTTTTAAAATTTGATTGTTTTGTTTACAAGAAATACATTGAGTGTGATCTGCCTGGATGTTGTTAAATATTTCATGTTTTCATCTAGAGCAATTATTATTCTCTCATTAATCAATGCTTTTAAATATCTGTCTTCAATATAAGATCTAAGAACTTTACAGCATGAGCTGCTTGTTCCCTGAAAGTCTTACAAATCTGCATATCGTTTAGCTTATGCTGTTAATATGCTCTTTCCTTTGATATATATTCCTATAAATTAGGAATACTCAGAAGCTCAGCAAGGATACTTGGAATCCTGTAAGATTAAGTCCAGCTTCTTACAGCTCCTAAATAAGCCTTTCAGTGCACCATCTTGTTAGGTCCTAACTTCATCTGACTCATCAAGTCATACTCTTCTCTGAACTGCTGATAAAAAAGAGACAGAAGAACAATCAGAAAGAAGATAAATTCTATGAATTCTGTTTCTCAAGGAAGTTCACATAACAGCACATATGTACATTAGCATGCATTAAGATAGCATAACCTCAGTTTTCCACTCTGATTCCTATAACGGGTCCATTTATCTTTAGCAGGCATATTTATCCGAGAAGAGAGAATGTGAATTACAATATACTTCAAAAGTGAAAGGTTTCATCTTTTTAAATATAAATACAGATCAGTACCAACTTTTTTCTCTCAACATTACCTGAAAAATGTAGACTAGAAACAATGCAGATGCAAATATAAATTATTTTAAGTATTTAAAAAAAAAAAAAAAAAAAAAAAAAAAGCTTCCAAATCTATGTACCTCTCTTCCTTTTCTCTGCAAACAGATCAAGGCATGCTCTCATTGTTTTTCTGATCACATTTCTTCTACTCATTCAGTTTTGCTTCTCATCACCCAGAACTGTATGCCTTGAAACTTCTCAATAACTTTGCAGTGCAGGAAGTAATTATTGCTCACATTTCACACCTAGAAAAGAAAAACAGAGAAAATGCAATTACTCAGGCAAAACCACTACAGAGAGTAGTTCTAGGAAATGAACAGACATCTCTTAGTCTAGCATTCTAATTAAAATATAATTTCTCAGTTGATTTCTGACTTAGCAATCTAATGAGATGCATGTATAAAGCACTCTAGATGATTCTAATATTTGAACTAGCTCTATCTAGTATCTTCTTATATTTGTCTTGCAAGGATGTGTACCTTCAAACCCCACTGTCCCTACAGTTTGTTTACAATAAATCCTCCTTGGTATCCATATTTCCATTAGCAGACCCCTCCACTCACAGGGCCAGATCAACAAAGGAACGCTGGACACTCTCTAGACATTTACCTGTTAATGACATGAATGTTTGAAACTCCACAAGCTCCTGGTAAAGATTTTTGCATGCTTTAAGCTATTCCTAATCGTCTCCATGTCCACCAAAGTTCTGATGGACAACATCCATGCATATTCTCCAACTGATTCCCCTTCTGTTAAATCCAGCTGGCAATGTCAGTGAACACAGGTATTCCAAAAAGTCTTCCCCACCTGATTTAAGTAACTCAAACGACTGACCATTTACTAAATTCACAAATCTTTTTTTTTTGTTTTAATGAAAGGTTTAGGTCTATATTTATCATTCCTTTACATACAGGAATAGCTTTTATTTTTATTTTTTTACAATTTTCAAATCATTATTAGGTCACTCACTCTATTTGACAGTCAAATATATTGAGTTTATAACTTCAAAATAAATTTCTGAAAACATAAAACATTCTTGCTTTTTTCTGTAGATTTTTGTGTTTTCACACTTTAACCGTCACTTGTCAATACAGACTCCAATATTGGCACTGTATGTTGACATTGATCTCAAAAATCATTTCTGTTAAACTAACAATATTTCCCTAATTTTATTGGCTACATTCATCTTTAATATTTCTGTCTAGTCTTTAGAGCAAGGAAAATGTGTTACTATAATACAAATAATAAAATGACATTTTTTCCAATGTGATTTTGAACTGTTAAAATTAGAGGTCTACATGCTTAATGAATAGGACATGCTCCTGCCATTTCAACATAAGTAATTATACTATTGCAGTACTGTGATACAAAATATATATTTGTATAATAATCTAAGAAATTGTCTATATTGAAATATACAGCACTCTGAATTACTCCATATCACATATTCTCTTTCTAAAAACGGTGCTAAAAAATGACTGTAATTTGCCATATTAGTTGTGAAATAGAGTATGCTGTTGCTTCCATGAGAAAAATCACACCTGTAGATGAATGTTTTTTGCAATTTTTTTCACAAATTTCACTTCACTAATAATTATTAAGTAGAGCCAATATTTCAACATAGATAATCCATACAAAAATTTGTAAGGTCTAGCTGGGAAACTGACAGTGAGTTCTGAAAGGCAATATTGTAATGTGTTGCCTTTCTTGTCTTTGCTGTAGTTGCAGTTTTCCAGCCACACTCAATGTAAATTGATGAGTTTCATATAAGATATTGTAAAAATACCCATTCTAGTGTTTGGACTGCTGGCCAAGCGATTCTTTCCCGTTCAGCATCACTAGTGTAATGTTCTTTCTTTTATGAATTTCTATTTTTATGAGTTTTTGAGGGAAACTTGCCTAGAAAATGCAATGTGGGGCTGCTCAAACATGTCTAATAACTCAGTGTATTTTGATTTGATCAAAGGTGCTGGTGTAAATACAAAAGAAGTTGTCATGGTCTCCTCAGCACAACACCCCGTTAGCTACAGGATTTGGTTTTGTTGTGTAGGCAGAAAAACTGTGGGGAAAAGAAAACTGAATTTTCAAGTTATTGGATGCTTCTTCCACTTAACAGACAAAAAAGCTTTGAACAAAAGCATCCCTGTATGCAGCAACCAATTGCCTAACAAAAAAACAAGCAAGTAGAAATATAATGGAAAGGTGTAATCAACAGTTTATATCCCTACTGTAAATGCATATGATTGCTATATGATTATCTTCAAATGCAGATGACTTAAAATTATCATTAGAATTTTGAAGTGAAAATAATATAAAAGAGTAAAATCCTGCAAACCTGCATGCAAACTACTTGCCAGTTTAAGTACCCCCAATCAAAAGAACAACATACAATGCAATTTGATGATGGGAGGATACAAAAACCACCCTGCAAAGTAGTATTTCATTCTGTTAAGCACTGACTAAAGACATAACCTCTAATCAAACATTTTGGAGAATTGCCAGTAACAGGGTGAGAGAAAGCAGAAAATTCCTCCAAAGAAGACTGAAATCACCACTAAAAGAGATCTGATAGAACTAGTGGAGTGTAGGTTCGTGCTCCATACCCCTCTCATTTCTGTGGAATTCACTGATCCAGTTTAAAGATAGCTCATGTAAACATGCAGAAATGGCTTACTGGTTGAGACCAAGGACTGTCTGACCCAGTGTCTCAGTGGTAGCCAGGAACAGAGGCACAAGGAAGCATAAGATCAGGGGCAAACACTTTTGTCCAAATATCCTTCCAGTCTCTAGCTAAGGCATCTTTGTCTATTTCTTTTTGACTACTATTTAAAGGCTGACAAATGAAATACCTAGTTGTTACTTGTTCCTCCTTATGACAGTAAAGACAAACGTTTTCTGCCACATTGAATACAATCCTTGTCCTTAGCAGAAAATTTTGAAGGTGTAGAAAGAGAAACAATGGTTTGAGTAGTAATAAAAAAGAAGTGAGGAGCCAATTAAAGGCCAGATAGGACAACAAAGATGTTACAAGCAGGTATGGATAAACGAACTGGTAACACAGCTGGGGGAAAAAAAAAAAAAAAAAGTCCAACTTGAAAAAAAGTCCAATTTGAAAAGGAATGTTCTCACTAAGGAAAGGCATTGAAGGAACTCAGTGTACAACATGCTTCTCCTGACCCATGTGGAATATGCTCTGGGAAAGAACAAGAAAAGCACATCCTTTCAGATTAGCTTCTACACAATTAGATTTTTTGAAGAAACCTGAAAAATGCTGAATGCTTTACCTGTTGCCAAACTATGTTAACATATTATACAACAATATTCTAATGGTTTACTAATAGGAAATGTAACGTTTGGTTTGACAGTAAAATTAATTTAAAAGTAATAAATGCAAAAAGTCAGATGTGTGGGAAAGGAAGAAGAGAATAATCATTATCATGAGGGATTGCAGGGAAACAAAATACCGTTTATTTATTTATTTGGCAATCAGTAAGAAAGCCTGGCACTTTCTGACATCTGAATTTGTCATAATTTCCAAGACAGAATGCAAACTTCTATCATTTCTGAGTTTGAAACTCGTGACCATTTTTTACTCATGATACATTTATTACATTATTTCCAAAATAGCTTTTGAATTGATGATTTTTTTTTTCTCTTTCCCTCATCAATCTTAACATCAAAGATTGTCTCTTCTTCCATGAAGACACAAAGACCAAGGCTGGAAAAAAAAAGACACCAAGATAGTTGATAGAAATTACAGTGCCAAGTGTAATTTAAGAGAAAAATTTTGATGACTTTAACTGGAAGAAGGCAATACAATGTCTAAGGCTATCACTCAGGACCCTTCCAGAATCACGGAGTCACAGAATGGTTGAGGTTGAAATGGACCTCTCGAGGTCATCTGGTCCAGCCAACTTGCTTTTCCATGGAACTTTGAATGTAACTTGGACCTAATCGCTGGTCCAAGGTAGAGAGAATTTAAATAATAATAATAATGATAATTTCAAAATTTTCATTAGTATTTATAGTTTAATTAAGAATGTATTCCTTCTTTAGGAAAATACTATTTTAATGACAGTGGTTGTGGTTTTTTGGACAAGAAAATTTAGAAAAATTTTCTAAACAAGGTAATACAGTGAGTCCCGAGGAGGGCCATGAGAATGATCAAAGGGCTGGAACACCTCTCCTGTGAAGACAGGCTGAGGGAGTTGGAGTTTTTCAGCCTGGAGAAGAGAAGGCTCCAGGAAGACTTCAATGCAGCCTTCCAGTACTTCCAGGAGGCCTACAGGAAAGCAGGAGAGGAACTCTTTTTCAGGGAGTGTAGTGATAGGAAAAGGAGTAATGTCTCTAAACTACAAAAGGGTAGATTTAGATTAGATATTTGGAAGAAATTCTTCACTGTGAGGGTGGTTAGGGACAGGAACAGGTTGCCCAGAGAAGTTGTGGATGCCTCATCCTGGAGGAGTTTAAGGCCGGGTTGGCCTTTGAGCAACCTGGTCTAGTTGAAGGTGTCTTTCCCCATGGCATTAGATTTAAGGTTCCCTTCTAACCCAAACTTTTCTATGATTCTGTGAAGACATTTTTGCTCATTTTCTAAAGGCTTCTATTTAAAATAAAAATTATATATTTATGTAAGTATAAATTTACTGTATTTTGAAATTTTATGCAGGAAAAAATTGTGTGAAACATTTAGATTGTTTTTTTTTTTTTTTTCCCACATTTCTTTCCTTTATGATTTCTTCTATTTTTTTTTCAGTTCTTAAATACCTAGATTGACTTCTTAGAAAAACTTAAAGTAGAATGTAATTGTAATACAGTGTAAAAACACTATATGATTATATTTTTGTTTTCAGAACTGGACAGTTTAATGCTAAATGACATTGTTTTTTTAAACACTTCATAACTAATGGGCTCTTCTTAGCAGTACACCTGAAAGTGCATTGGGGTGTGATTTTTTATTTATTTATTTATTTTGGGTCATTTTAATACAGCAAAGTCTCGAAAGAAAAGGTAGATTAATTCTATTTCAAAAAAGAGGTTTTAGTCATTCAGATTTGTTCATTTCTATTGAGGGTGTCCCTTAAAACTGAAGATTAAGATAGAGCTATGTATGCCATTCTATAGAAAACAGAAACGATAAACATATAGTATCGATTTTAGTCTCCCCTACCGTGATAAAAGTAGACAACATCAGTTTTAAGTATTTGGAGGTGGCCTTTTTACTTTTTAAAAAATTATATGTGAA